GATGGAAACGAGTCGATGTTGAATCGAAGCGGGTGGGGCCCGTCGTATCAAGTGACGTCCACCTGTCAATGTTACGGAACGCCGTACCGTCTGCGCTGCACGATGCATCTGAGCCATCCTGCTGGGATCGAGGCCGTAAGGCATGACTTGGAATCGCCTTTGCCAGCGGCCCAGTGAAGGATCAACTTGGAAGACCACCCGCCTCCCAATGTTGCCACCGGGCGTGCAAGCCAAAGTATGGCATATCGGTAACCTGGCCCATGGTGCACACCGGCGCGCGCTGCCAACACTGAAAGACGAATATCACATTGCCACATAGCGTGGGCAAACTGTGCCGCTCGGGCACGACGACGACGACTTCGCCTTCGACACCGACGTCGACGTCGACGTCGTCGTCGTCGTCTCGCGCGCTGTTCCTTTCAAAAACGGGTGCATTCTGGGCCCCATGGGGCCCAGAACCCGCCCGTCGTTGTTGGGCGCATCCCCGCATTGGGCGGTGGCGCCTTGGGTGTGTGAAATCAAACATGGGTCGCATTTTTCGTTGTCTGGCGAGGCTACTCCAGGACTGGGTGGGGGGGGGGCGAAGCTAGTCCAAATACCAAGCGCGAAAACCGTCGATCGTTAAGTGGGCACGCCACTTAACGAGAAGTGCGTTCAGTGTGTGTGTGTGTGTGCGTGTGTGGGTGTGTGTGTGTGTGTGTGTGTTTGAAACATCAAACCTGCCGCGGCCCGATCGGATCGCCGGGCGACGTAATTGTGTCTTGTGTGTGTGAATTTACATACTGACCCCCCCCCGTCCGATCGTGGACAGCGTTCGTTGGACGACGTCCCACAGGTTCCACAGGTCTCGCAGGTCTCACAGGTTCCACAGGTCGCACAGGTGTCGCAGGTCCCACAGATCCCACAGGTCCCACATCCGGGAGGGCTCGTGGGTTTCGCAGGTCCGCGGGCGGCGGCGCGCCAAGAGACGAGAGGGAATCGCGCGTAAACCGAATATTTGGGCTGGGTTACCCACCTCCGTGAAAACATTCTAACACAAGTGGCATAGGGATGGAAACTGAAACGATGTTGAATCGAAGCGGGCGGGGCCCATCGCATGAAGTGACGTCCACGTGTCAATGTTACGGAACGCCGTGCCGTCTGCGCTGCGCGGTGCATGTGAGCCATCTGACTGGGAACGAGGCCGTAAGGCATGACCTGGAGTCGCCCACGCCAGCGGCCCAGTGAAGGATCAATTTGGAAAAAAAACACCCGGGCATTAGGTGGCATCCGCCTCCCACTGTTGCCACAAGGCGTGCGAACCTAAGAATGGCATATCGGTAACCTGGCCCATGATGCACACATGCGCACGCTGCCAGCACTGAAAGGCGAATCTCACTGAACGGTTTTGTTTGGGCGCTACCGTGTGCAGACAATTCAAAATAATCGTCTTGTTGATTTTGTTGTAGTTTTTCTCGGCTGCGTAGCCTTTTGTGGGGCGTCCACAAGGCCAGGGGAGGCCAACATTCATCAAGGGCGGAGGGGGGTGGATCCGAATGCGCTCAATATGGGGTCCCCCCGGGGTCCCCAGGTTTATGCAAGTATACAATTCGGGATATATATATATATATATGTGTATGTGTATATATACAGATATATAAACATATATATACACATATATACATATGTATGTATGTATGTATGTATGTATGTATGTATGTATGTATGTATGTACATATGTATGTGTGTATGTATGTATGTATCTATGTATGTATGTATGTATGTATGTATGTATGGTTGTATGTATGTGTGTATGTATGTACGTATGTGTGTATGTGTGTTTGTTTGTATGTATGTATGTATATATACATAAACGTAGAAACATATCCACATAACTATATATGCATACATGCACATACATACTATATGTGTATACATACATATAATTATGTGTATATATGTGTAGGAATCCATAGGTATACATGTATATGTACATTAGATATATGTTGCAAGTATAACATTGAGTGTGTGTATGTGTGGATGTGTGGATGTGTGTATGTATGTATGTATGTATGTAGGTAGGTAGGTAGGTAGGTAGGTAGGTATGTATGTATGTATGTATGTATGTATGTATGTATGTATGTATGTGTGTATGTATGAATGTATGTATGTATGTATGTATGTGTATATATATACATACAAGATAGTGTTGGCTCGCTTCGCTTCGCCACAACATCATGTCCCTCATCCTCATCCTTGGCGCAGGAGCGCGGGCCTGGTACCTCGCCGCGCTATGTGGTCACAGAATGTGGCGAGCTCGTGAATTTTCCTTGCCATAGGGGTGTAAACTTGATGTTTGTCGCGAGCTCGACGGCTCAGGGCTGCGTGGGTGTGTGTTTTTGTAAGGAGTGAACCTGTGTGGAAGTGAAGAACCACCCGACGGGCCGAACCAATTTGTGGTTCACGTCGACGGCTGTTTTTTTCTTCGGGGCCCCGGATGGGAGCGTCTGGCGCTCTGCGGGCACGCTGGCGCCAGGGGGCCGTCGTGCGCGTGCGTGTGTGTGTGTGTGTTTTCATAGGGAATGAGCATGTGCGCGGACGCAGAGCCACCCGACGGGCCGAACCAATTTTTGGTTCACGCTGACGGTTGCTTTTTCTTTTTCGTGCTCGGGATGGGGGGCGTCTGGCGCCCTCCGGGCACGCCGGCGTCGAGGGGCTGTCGTGGGTGTGGGTTTTCGTAAGGAAAGAACATGTCCCGGGGCGCGGAACCACCCGACGGGCCGCACCAATTTTTGGTTCACGCTGACGGTTGCTTTTTCTTTTTCGTGCTCGGGATGGGGGGCGTCTGGCGCCCTCCGGGCACGCCGGCGTCGAGGGGCTGTCGTGGGTGTGGGTTTTCGTAAGGAAATAACATGTCCCAGGGCGCGGAGCCACCCGACGGGCCGCACCAATTTTTGGTTCACGTCGACGGTTGCTTGTTCTTTTTCGGGCCCGGGATGGGGGGCGTCTGGCGCCCTCACGGCACGCCGGCGTCGAGGGGCTGTCATGGGTGTGGGTTTTCGTAAGGAAAGAGCATGTCCCAGGGCGCGGAACCACCCGACGGGCCGCACCAATTTTTAGGTTCACGTCGACGGCTGCTTGTTCTTTTTCGGGCCCGGGATGGGGGGCGTCTGGCGCCTGGGGGTCAAAGGCCACGGAACATCAACCGCAGCCTGGCGCGTCCGAAGTGTATGCGTCGTCTCTGTTCGTGGAGGCCTCATGGATGGTTTCTCGCGGACGTCCTGGGGGCCCGTTGGGGCCTCTTGGTGGCCTCCTGGGGCTGTGTTCGAGCCTTCTGGGGGGTATCCTGGAGCCGAGGGGCGGAAATGTCGGGTCGGATCCTGTCGTGGAGCCTTTCTTGGAGCCGTCTTGAGGGTCTCCGGGGCCGTCTTGGGAGTCTCTTGCACCGTCTTGGGCCGTCTTGGGCCGTCTTGGGGCCGTGTGGGGCGTGTTGGAGGCCTCTTGGGCCGTCTTGTGACCAACTAGGGCGTTTTAGAGCGATCTGTGGGCGTCTTGGAAGGCTTCTGGGGCCGGTCGGAGCCCCCCTACCGGGAAATCGATTTCGGTTTCGTGTTCGTGCGTGCCGTGCGTGCGGGCGAGGCGAAGCTGCGTGGGGAGGCGAGAAGAAAGTCTCCTGTGGCTGAGGCGCGGCCGGACCAAATGTCTCCCTTCCGGGCGGCCGGTGGCCCGCGGTGTCCCGCCGGTGTCCCGCTGGTGTCCCGTGTGGCTGAGGCGTGGCCGACCCAATGTCTCCCTTCCGGGCGGCCGGTGGCCCGCGGTGTCCCGCCGGTGTCCCGCGGTGTCCCGCGGTGTCCCGCGGTGCCCCGCGGTGTCCCGCCGGTGTCACGCGGTGTCCCGCGATGATGATGATGATGATGATGATGATGATGATGATGATGATGATGATGATGATGATGATGATGATGATGATGATGATGATGATGATGATGATGATGGTGATGGTGATGGTGATGGTGATGGTGATGGTGATGGTGATGGTGATGGTGATGGTGATGGTGATGGTGATGGTGATGGTGATGGTGATGATGATGATGATGATGTTGATGTTGATGTTGATGTTGATGTTGATGATGATGATGATGTTGATGTTGATGTTGATGTTGAGATGATGATGATGAAGATGATGGTGATGATGGTGATGCTGAAGATGATGCTGCTGATGTTGCTGATGCTGATGTTGTTGTTGATGATGATGATGGTGATGCTGATGATGACGATGCTGATGATGATGAGGACGATGATGATGATGATGATGATGATGATGATGATGATGATGATGATGATGATGATGATGATCGAGTGAGATCGAGTGTGAGATAGATCGAGTGATATCAATTGTGAGATCGATTGTGAGATCGATCGAGGGAGATCGATCGAGCGAGACCGATACTGAGATCGATAGTGAGATCGATAGTGGGACCGATCGAGTGAGACGTTGGTTCCCCCCCCCGAACCTCCTTATCACCCGAAGGGTGGTCGTATAGGTATATGTGTGTGTATGTGTGCGTGCACGTGCTGCGGGTGGTCGCGTGGCCGCGACGCCAAAGTGTGCGTTCGCGGCCGCAGAGTCCCATGCCGAATTTGCGAACACCGCCAGCAATGCAGCAACTTGCATCCGCAACCTCAAAGGCCATGCAAAACCTTTGCTTGCCCACTCTGCGGCGGCACGTCTGGGCAGGCCGTCGCTGCGTACCCACCGATTGCTGCGTTCTCTTGCGGGGCCGGTCGGGGCCACGCCTCCCGAAGGGGAAGCCTCCGCGGCGCCCGGCCTTCGCGCTCGGAGAAAATGGGCTGAGAGCGGTCGGGGGAGGGGGGGGCAGCGTGCGGGCACACACGGGGGGGAGGCAGGAGTGAGACGACGGCGGCTTGCCGGGGGGGGGGGGGGGGGGGGGGAGGGGAGGAGGCGGGGGAGGGAAAGCGAGGAAGGGGGGGAAGCGCGCTCCTGATGCTCATTTCGGCAGGTGGAATTGCCCGTGGCCGTCGTCCCCACGGGCGCGAGGGCCAAGTTCTCGAAGAAGCGGTGCGAGATTGCCCGCCCCTTGAGGGGGACCGCCGTCTCGAGAGAAGGCGGTGGGAACGGTGTGAGCGACCATCACGCTGCCTAGAATTATGATCTGCCAGCATTGAAACCCAGCAGTGCGTTATGGCACTTTCGATGTGCAGCACATGCATTTCAACCTAAGTTGTGCATCTTAGGCCACCAGCCGCAGGGCACCGCTCATGGAGAACCGGGGCACGAACGCGAAAATTGTTGCCATCAAAGGCATGATATGGCACCAGCCACAGATAACCACCCATCGAGCACCAACCAAGGATAACGCGAATCTCGCAACCAGCAAGGGCATCGTATAGCGCCAACCTGAGAGCACCACCGAGCACCAGGGCAAGAACGAGCAATAGCACTCAAGGCCTGGTATGTCACCAGCCATACAAAATCACCCATGCGGCATCAGGGCAAGAACGAATAATGATCAATTGCAAGGCCCAAGGCATGATAGGGTGTCAGCCGTAGAGCATCACCCATAGAACACCAGGGCAATCACGAGAAACCGCCACACCCAAGGCATGAAAGGTCCCAAGGCATGAAGGGTCACCACTACCCACATGGAACCAGGACAGTAACAAGCAATCGGAACGCTCAAGGCATGACGGCAGCAACCATAAAGCACCACCCGTGGGTCGCTAGGGCACGAACGAGCAGCCGCAGCATTTGAGGCATGAGAAGGCACCACCCATGGAGCACCATCCGTAGGGCACCAGAGAAGGACGAGCCGTCGCAACACACTTGCACCATACGACGCCAGCCATATGGAACCACCTACAGGACACCAGGGCAAACATGAGCATACGCACAACTCAAGGCACGACAGGGCACCTGCGATAGAGCACCACCCACGGAGTACCAGGACAGGAACGAGCATTCGCATTACCCGAGGCATCATATTGCACCAGCGATAAAGCACCATGATGCATCGAAAACCAGGACAAGAACCAGCAATCGCAATACTCAGGGCAAGGCATGGCACCAACCACACGGCACCACCCACGCCCACGGGGCACCATAGCAGGAACGAGTAATCGCAACAATCAAGACATGATAGGTCACCGACCACAGAGGACCGCCCATATGGCACCAGGACGACAAGTAATTGGAACACTCCAGGCACGGTAAGGCACAAGCCAGCACACCCATACAGCACCAGGACAGGAACGACTTATCACAAACATCAAGGGCATGCGAAGGCACCAACCGTAGAGCATCACCCACAGGGCACCAGGACAAGAACCAACAATCGAAGCATCCACTGCGTCATAGGGCATCAGCCATTAAACACCACTCATGAGGCACAAGGGCAAGGACGAGCGAACGCAGCATTCAAGGCATGATAGTGTCTCAATTGCAGAGCGCCACAGATTGGGCACCAGGGCAAGACCGAGCAATCGCAGCTCGCATCCAGCGTCTGTTGAAAAGGATAAGACCCCCAGTGCACGCATTGTTTGGATACTAGATGAAGCAGAGACCCTAGCCTGTATACGATGACATTCATCATTGTGAGGGTCACAAAACTACGTACGGTGTTGCTATTCTTACTTCTTCTTTTGCCGCTGCTGCTATCATTACAGCTAGTGCTGTTACTGCTGCTGCTGCTGCTGCTGCTGCTGCTATCAGTGTTGTTGCAGCTGCCTCTGCTGTTGACCGCATTGTTACTGATCTCCACCTGTTGCTGCAGGTACCCGTGCTATTTGGTTATTGCTATAGCTGCCACTGCTACTGCTGTTGCTGATGATGTTCATGCTGGTACTCATGCAGCTACCGCGACTGCTGCTGCTTACTATGCTTATTCTGCTGGTGCTGATGCTAGTGCGATTTTAATGCCGCCTGCTGCTGCTGATGCTACCGCTGCCGATTCTGCTGCCGACTGCAGCTGCAGTTGTTGCTGCGCTTGCTCCTGCTGCATGCAGTTGCCGTGGTAGCTGCCAGTGCTGCCGCTACGGCTTCTTGTGAAGCTTCTGCTGTCGCTTCTTGCCGCCACATGTGTGCGACAGCAGCACTTGGTGACGCTTCGCACATCTCCACAGGCCCACCCCGAAACCATCATCCGACGACCTGCACCGAACGGGGAGATGTTGAAGCATGGAGGAGGAGGAGGGGAAGGATGCCTAGTTCCCTACCTAGGCGCTGCCTAGAAGGGTTCTTACTCTCTTAGCTTAAAGGGGCCGGGCAGTGGAAAACGCCCCGGGTGGTTAGCATATCATAGCATAGCCCAGCATAGCATAGCATAACGCAGCATAGCATAGCATAGCATAGTATAGCGCAGCACAGCATAGCATAGCACAGCGCAACAGATCATAGCATAGCATAGCAACGCATAGCATGGCATAGCATAGCGCAGCTTGGCATAGCATAGCATAGCTTAGCATAGCACAGCGCAGCATGACAGCATATATCGGCATAGCAAAGCATATCAGATCATAGTATAGCATAGCGCAGCATAGCATAATATATCATAGCATATGATAGCATATCATATCATAGCGCAGCACAGCATAGCATAACATAGCATAGCATAGCATAGCAACTAATGTTGCTTTCCTAAGGGCTCCAACTTCTAGGTAGGGTCGCACTGGGGTAATTATTTTGACCTTTCTGATCAGTGTTGTACTACAGTCAACGCGCCTGTTCAGGACGCGCGCCTTCATTCAGGGTGCCCTTGTGTCCTTGCCTCTGCGGCCCGTCCTTTGCCGTTCTCACTGGTCGCAGGCCAGCCGAAAAATCCCACCTTCGGCCTCCAAGGGCCTTACGTCCTTGCCACCCGTCCTTACCACACGTCTTGACTGCAGGTGCTTGCCGGAGCCTGCCTCCCCGAGGTGTCCTGCCACTCCCGGAGCAACGAGGGAGGTGGGCGCTGCGGCGAGGGCGCCGCACCCGTGGCTGGGCAGAGGCCGGCGCCGAGGCGAGAGCTCCGTTCCGAGGCGGGAGGTGCGGAACCCCCGCGGGGCCCGACCGCGTGACGGTTGTACACGGTTGGGATACGGTCGTTGTGGTCGTGATGTGGTCGTCGTCGTCTACATCACACCCTCTGGCTCCTCCTCCTCGTCCTCCTCCTCCTCCTCCTCCTCTAGGGCGGAGTGACTGGCGTGTAACGGCGGCACAAAACCAGCTGAACAACGACAAACAAATGGTCTTACGAGAGAAGACATACGGTTGAGGGAAGAAATGAAACAGCATTCCCCCCTTCCCCCGCAATTCAAAGTTGTCACGCTCCTTGAGGACCACTCGGAGGCCCCAAAATCGGAAGATCCGAAACCGACACTGCATCTGGGGGGAGGGGGGGGAGTTCAAACCATGTGTTCTGCATGAGCGTTGCTTCATTGTTTCCGACACCTGTGCCCGCCCCCACGGGGGCCCGATCCCCCCCTGTAACGGACGTTGAAGCGAGGGGGGAAGAAGAAAAAGCATTCGAGGCGCAAGTCGGGCATGTCCCTCTACAGGAGGAACATTCAAAAACAGTCCCAAACTAGTTTGGGGACCATTTTTCGATTCTCTTCAAACCACTTTTGATTATTTGGGGATTTCTTATTTCTTGTGTATATATAAATAACTTGTCCTTCAAGATCCGCCTGTAGGAGGACATGCCCGACCTGAATCGAGGCGCCGAGGCGTCAGCACCGTGCCGAGGCTGGCAGTGTGGCCGGTGCCCTGGCGACGGCAAAAGCTGCAGGGCGGGGGGGGGCGGCGCCGTTCGAGGGCGAGAGCACCACGCCGAGGCTGGAGGGTTTCCCTGAAGGGCTTAGGCGACCCGTCGTCCTCTCTCCTCCTCCTCTCTCCTCCTCCTCCTCCTCCTCCCTCTCCTCCTCCTCCTCCTCCTCCTCCTCCTCCTCCTCCTCCTCCTCCTCCTCCTCCTAGGTGGCCCAGGTCAGGCGCACCGCGCGAGCGCCACCCGCGAAGAGGCCACACCTTCACTACCTTCCGCGGGGCGCATACCCCCCCATGGAGCATGCAAGCCTGGCGGCGGCAGCGCGCCTGTTGAGATTGGTCTTGTACAACCCACAGTGTGCGAACACGTTCAATCGTTTGTTAGACATCGCACACGAGCTGGGCAGCAAGGATGTTATAGGGCTCATTGGCACCCAGCTGAAGAGCCGAGGCGAAGACGTCGAAGACACGAGGTTGGTCGGTCAGTGTTACACCATCGAGGCGGGCTACTCGTACGGGCAGTACACCACCAAGAGTTGCGGCGTCACGCTGCTACTACGCAAGTCGAGATTCCCGAGGAAGAGCATCAAGCGGGTCTTCGACGTGCCGAAGGGGATCAGAGGACGAGTGCTCGGCGTGATGGTAGAGGCTCAGGGCCTCATATTTGGATCTATATTGGCATATTTTCCCCTCGGGAGACGTCGTCCAGTGGGCGCCAGGTGTATGATAGAAGCATCGAGCAGATTCTGAAGTGTATGCAGAAACAATGGCGGTGCTACGTGAGAGAGGTGTCGTGCCTATTCTGATGACAGACCTGAATGGAGCGCTACCGCACAGCCCACTCGATCAGGTCGCAGATGCTCACGGCACGGGAAACATCACCCCCACATCGTCGAGATTCAGACCGTATGCTGAGGGATGGTCGCTCACTAGTGCGACGACGCACTACCCAGGACCGCCGACATACGTGGGAGAGAAACGCAGTTCCCTCATAGACCACATACTCCTCCCACGAGAATTGTTGCAGACCGTCGAGAGGGTCCACATTCTTTCTTCATCGGCACGTAGATTGCAGCTTATCGAGTCTCGGGAACCTCGGGATCACCGACCAGTACTTCTATCACTGATTGCCCAGATAGCGGCGGAACCGCTTTCCAGGCGCCCGCCCAGGCCTAACAGAGAGGCGCTCTACCAATGTGTTCAAGTGGGTTTTCGGAGGAATGAGGTTTTGAGAGCCATGGAGGAAGAGGTCAGCAAGATTGAGGACGATTTCGAGGCAGCTTCTCTGATAGGTGACGTGGACGCCATGAATGAACTATTGATAGGTGCTCT